TTTATACCATTGTTCAGTTTTCAAAAATCCATCCCTTATGCATTCAGCTTTGACTTATTGAATTTGTATAAATGATCAGTTTCAGTTATTTGATTGGGTAATCAGTGCACACCTAAAAAAAAACATGTATCTCAATATTGAAAAAAAATTCTAGATGTTGATAGAGAGGGGGTTTATTGTAGGATGGTGGCTTTAAAAACAGAAACTTTTTGACCTTCCTAGCTTGTATAAAAATAATTTTAATGAACATCACATTACAACATTTTTTAAAGTTTCAGTTCTACTGTTATTAATCAACACCTGTGTATATGACATTAAATTTACCACTTAAAGAAATAAAAAGACTGTTTTTCTTATCTAAATCTTTATTAGAAGAAAAAACAAATCGATTTAAAACAATGAATAACAACAGATTTATTCAATATTGAACATTTTAGTTATCAAAGATATTTAGACAATGTTCCTAATATTTCTGCACAGCAGAAGCACCACTGATTATAGAGCTCAGACTGTCAAGGGCTCATGTGAGGTGTGTTTTTTTTGGCATAAAAGAATATCTAAAATCACATTAAGCAAATGTGATAAAAGATAAGCTGATAGTAACTGTTGATTTTCAAGCTTTCACCAGCAACCATATTTGATTGATACTCACTTAGGGTAAATGCTTTATGGACTCTTTCTATAACAACGAGTTACAAACTGAATTAATTTTCTTTTAAGTTTGTAGAAGTAGTCCAATGCTTTTAAGTTGAACTAGAAATGATGTCACTATTTTTGCATAATAAAAAATTAAGAAAAAATGATTATTCCATTATCAAAAGTTAGAAAATGAAATAATGTACATCGAACACTCTTTAATGATAATACACGATCACCAAAATGGAGCTTCTCAATATATGACATCTGTGAGCTTCCTTTTAGGGAGAAAGTTTCCCTTTGTACTTTCTTGCAGTTTTCCTTTCCAGTCTGTGTAATGCACTGAGAAATGTGGTCTTATCCTTACTGTATTTCTGTGTTTTCAAAGATAGAAAAACCTTGTTTTGAACTTGTCACTTTTAGCTAAAAAAACAAACCCAACAAGTATCCTTTCAGGTTTTTTTTTTTTTTTCTTGCGTGTAGTACACATTCATGAATGTCCACTAGGCGCAAGGGAAATTGTTTATGCTGCAAACATACTCTACATAGTGAGGATAGCAAACACACTGAAATGACAAATGGTTCAAACCAGTGAGCTAAGAAGAAAACAAAAGCAAGAAGACTTGTTTTAATCACTAAACATTGCAGGTTTTTTTTTTTTTTTTTAAACAGTGTTTGTAAACTTACCCACAAAAGCTGGGTAACATTAAACAGCCAGTAAGGCACTTTGTCAGAAAGGACGAAGTAGTAAAGGCTGGATGATTGGCAATTTGTTTAATAGGAAACATTCTGTACTTAAAGGGGGCAAAATCTGGAGCGGGGCAGTCCTTTCACTGATTTACCATCAAACAGGAGTGGGGAAACTCTAAAATTTTTTATTTCACTTTGTTTACCAATTTTCCCTGCAGAAGTCTTTTAGTTGTAATTTTAAAAATATACTAGGAGCTATCAATTTAAATAACACATAACTTTTCAATCTGATATTTAAACTAATATTAACATATTCACTATTTTCAAAACATCCAAGCCACTCTATTTAAAAATGAATTACAAAACAAAAGATCTTAGTATAAAAATGTTCCATGTTATTAACAATTCCCTTGCGACTTCTGATGGCTTCACATATTATAGATTAAGCTTTGGTATAAGACATGCAAATAAAAGCCAACAAGGTCATGAATACAGTGTTCCAAACACAAAGCACTTATGAAAGGAGTGTTGCACAGACCAGCAGGTGAGGAAAAGGTAACACACCGCAGCAGGATCGCCAGAGTTTGTACTTCTAGGGCTTCTTAGCTGAATTTTGGTCGTTCAAAATCTTCAGCAGGGTGTGACTCATATAATAGGGTCTTTCAGTAGTACCTTCGTTTCTTTCTAAATCTTCCACTAGGAGGAAGAATGGCACAGAGTAAATAGCAAAGCAAGATTGTAAAAGTAGTAACATCGCCATCTGCTGCGTACTTGCTTTACAGCAGTTCAAAATTAAAAAAAAAAAAAAAAAAGGACAGCATAGTATATTATTGTTATTAATATTATTGTAAACATAACTACGTGAAAATAATTAGCCCTTGTTTTGATGTCAAGAAGGTACTACTTCATTGCATACCAGATCAGATTCTTCCAATAGCACATGCCTCTTAGTCTTTTATGAAAGAACTATTACCATAAAAACAAGACTTATTAGGATTTCTAAATTCATCTTCAAATTCCTAAAAAGTACTATGTTCTCAATTTACTTTCTAAATAGTCATACTTGTCCAACATTTTCGCTTTGCCATCAGCTACTTAGTTTAAAAAATGTAAGGCTTAAAATTTTTGTACATTTCAAATCCATATGCTTCAAATTTTGAGAAAAAGTGCTGTTTTATTCAGTTACTTTGATTTTTAAGAAAATCACTTCCTTTTATTTCTGAAAAGCAATGCTCAGCTCATTTTTAGTCTACATTAATTTTAATTACCCACAAAAGTAATTAATAGAGACTACTTTATGACTAGAAATAAGCTCACACTATAGTTAAAACTTCTATATTTAGAGATCCTTCTTTAAGTGCTAAAGAAATTATTAAGAATTACTAAACCAAAGGTCATTTCTTTCCCTGTGATTTTGTACCCAAGTGTTACAACCTTAAAACACAGTCAAGTTTAGATTGTGCCTCCACCTCATCTAATGAACATTTCACTCAAGAAAACTTCCTGGTATAATCACAGATATAATGTTAAACTTTTAGTACATAGGACCCATCTAGTACCAACAAGAAGTTATGATAGATAGAAGTCTCCAAAGTAATGTCCTTTATTGTCTCAACTTTCTAACGTCTAGAACAGCCAAGGATACAGGGGGAAATAGGAACCTAGATCCTCACATTGTTTATATTTAATTCAAGTAATTTGCCAACTTTTACATTTATTAGAATCAACTCAAAAATTTATAATAATTCACCAGCTGCTCTACACCCGAACATGATAGGTTGGAATCGCAGGGACTGGGGTAGAATACAGTGATCTATCTATATTTTAACAAGCTCTCAGAAAGTGGCTGCTAAAAAAAAAAAAAATCCATTGTCTAATTTCATCATTAAGAACTTCTTGACTTCTACAGGGGACTTATTTCTTTGAATTTTTCAACATTAACATAGAAGCAGCTGTTTTACTAAGATCTTTGTTGTGACCTCTGTATTGTTAAAAATGAAAAGAATAATAACCATCTAGAAATATAAGTTATCACTTTTCTCTGAGTTAATTGTCATCAAGGAGAATGACAATGAAGAAGGCTCTATCCTGACATATGAAGCCAAGTGATACTTTTGGCTACAATCATCTCCAGAAAGTAAACCAAGAACAAATTAGAAGTCATTATGAGGACATTTTGGAAATCTCTAGTCATAAACTTCTTTCTATTAAACTGGCATAAAGTCAGTATAAAATCTAGGTTCCCACACTCCAGGATCATAAAATACATTAGTAGTTACATTAACTTTTAGCATGACACATTTCTGACTCTCTTATTGGATACATGGAGCCTATTCAGATAAAGATATTAGATCAACTTGTTCTCTTCTGTTGGTACGTAAATAATCCTTATATAAACATACATTTGTAGATGTTTGAACCTATAACCCCTGAAGCAAATAAAATGATGCAAACTGATTTTACATCAATAAAGAAAAATCCTCATACACAAGCATGTTGTAAAAAGACAAATGGAAAATGTTTGGTTTGCATTTCCTATTGCGGTACATTTTTACATTGTTAGCCATATCATACGTATCTGTACTTGGGATAGGTAGGCAAAGTATCTGAATGTCTGACTTATGCTTTGTTCTTCCATGAAAAAGACTTAGTCATGGCTGCCAGAGACCAGCTAGAGTCCTGGCCAGCAGGAGTGGAGAGGGACAGTAACTTTGCTCCCTAACCTTTGAGAGAAATTTCCTAACCCACAATGTGCTCCTTGTGGAGGTCACTGTGGAGGATTAATATGATACTCCGTTTGGGTAAAATCTGAAATGTTTTATCTTTTCCCTTTCCTCTCTAAAACTAAATTTTCCTTTTCCTCAATAAAATTAAAATCTTTTGTCAAAAAACCACATAATCTCCTTGATCTAGAAAAATAGGTATGCTCATGAAAAGACATAATGGTTCTTCTGAAATAACTCCATACTGATTTTCGACCTGGTAGGAATAGGAAGATAGGAATTTGCCCCTGTTTGGGTCAAAGACACAATTCATGAGTTATATTGCAATTTCTGTTTTGTTCAAAATATTTTCATGGTGACCAGAGGTTCAAATTACTGGAAATACCATTCCCAAACTCAGATTCAACTTCACTATAAATATAATTTCACTGAAACTAAATGGGCTATGAAGGTTTAGAGTGTACTTAATGCTCTCTAAGGAACCTGTATCACATTGACATCTAGATATCAGTATTTGTTATAGACTTGAATCACTTATTGAGATATACTTCCTAGGGAACCATTAATACAATTAATCACAGTTTAGAGAGTTGTCCACAGCTTGAACAATATAAATATAACCGTAGCACCATATTTACAATTTTAGTACCATATGCTGGTTAACTATAAGTCAATTATTTATGGCTAATTGATAATACATTTAGAGTGCTTTCAAAAATTGCCTGAATATCCTTTACAAATACACATTTATTAAAAAAAGAAGGTTATCAAAGTGCTGCAATGGGGAACAGCATGCCAAGTTATAAAAGTTATTAAAACACTTTCAACTACAGACTTTAAAAACATGTTTGACATTTACACCTTGCTTTTCAGCTGGGACCACCATCTTACAAAGTATCCCAGTTCACAGAGGTCACTGTCACCCAACATCTCACACCTCAGGTTGGTATTAAGTCCTGGCTTTTGAGGAATAAGTACAGAAATGTCACTCAGAGATATCATTTTCACATTACAAATGGCCCAATTTACAAAACTTCTACTTAAAAATGAACGGCACTGTTTGGAGCTTTTCTACTCTTTCTGCTTCTGGGAGACTAGGTGCTTCTTGTTCAGAATCCCGTGGAGGGTGGGGGTTATGAAGTAGGGTTTTTCTGTAGATCCATCATTTCTTTCCAGATCTTCACCTGCATGTACAGTCAAAGCAGCAACCAGCAGCCGGATAATGACACATATTTTTATAAATTGGAGATTGGAACAGGGAAAAACCAGAGAAATTGTTGTTAGCAAGTCAAGTAAAAAAAAATCAGTGCAGTTAAGATATTGATGATGGACAAAGCAGGATGTGCCAACCTTTTTCAGGAGTGCTGAAACTTCCTAAATCCCACCCACTCCTCAAGGTTTATTTTGATAATTTAAAGGTTAATAAAATCATTCACATCTTTTCAAAAGTATCATCCTTAAATTCTGCCACTGTTTATTTCAGGAAGGTAAAATCACACATACCCTGGTACAAAAAATATAGAGGGGCATATAAAATAACACATATATACATTTTATATAAAATATCACACATATATGTATTAGTATAAAGTATTAAACATAAATATTACAAATAAATATAAAATAGAAATGGATTTAAACCATAATTTTAAACATAAATAAACATTAAAATAAATAAATAAAATATTAAAATCTATTCTATTAAAATATAAGGATGTGTTATTACATAACATATGTAAATATGTATTATATGAAATAATAGGGTACTGATAGGAATGTGATGGATACATTAACAATCATCTACAACTTTTTTCCTTCCTTAGTACTGTGTAATGTTAAAAGGATGCTGTTTTTATAAATGAAGTATTTGTAAATGGTTTGCAATTTAAAAACTACAGTTTTCTAGTGCAACCAGGATAATAGGTATAAAATGATCAATGAAAAAATAAGAGATACAGTTCCAAACAATCAAAATTTGGCTTAGCATGCCATTTAAAAAGGCTGTTTTTCAAAGTAAGATATTGACTACAGTAACAGCTGGAGATGGAAGAGAAATACAATATAGTTTCCCTTGTTCTTTATTATCAAAGGAAAGAGACTCCAAAAAGAAACTATTCATGCTCAGCACACAATGGATTAAGTAAAGTTGAAATTACACCTGGTTTTGGTAAGTTGGCAGCTGATTAATACAGCGGATGGGATATGCTTTTTACTGCTCCAATGTAAAATGTGTGTCATTTTAGAATCCACAAGATTTGCAAAGCTTCAAAGACTGGCAATGAGTATATTTTTGACATTTTCTGAGGTATTTTCAATCACAAGAATGGGGTAGTTCCACTGGGATTGCTCCATGATTAATATTTGAGATGAAAAGAGAAGACCTTTGACCATCTGAGCAGTCTGTCTGTATTATTCTTAGGTGCTACCTATGCCCATGCTCCAGCCATCTCATATATGAGCTGGGATTTGTTCATGTGGTATTTTGTGGGCAAATATTCCCAATAAACTACTGAGGCCCTTGGAAATGATTAAATATTGCAATTGGATTTGCAGAGAAGCAGTTAACTACAATGCAAATATCTAGCTATTGAAAACTCTCTTTCAAATGTTTAGAAAGAAAAACAAGAAAAAGTCAAACCATTTTCTAGAAGGCTTTTCTCTGACTATTATCTCCATAGAGTTACTTCCTCTTGTGACCCCAGCATGAAATTGGTGCTCTGAATTAAGCTAAAAAAACAGACAGTTTACACAAGTAATTATTCAGTAATTCCCTCTAATGGAATGTTTCTATGCCAGAAGTACAATTTCTCAGAGGATATAACTGCCGAGCTGAAAAGTTTTATTTTATTTACTAACCCTACTTCCTCTAGATTGAAGGTGAGGATCATCAGGTGCTTTAGGGTTTTATGATGAGGTAGTAATAGAAAACCCCCATTGTTTGTATATGAGCTGCGTATAGCAGATATCAGGCCTGTGGACATGTCAGGGATGGAAGTTCTAAGGACCTGGACATGATCCTCTATGAATGTGATTCTTCTGTCACTGTGACCTAGAGGGAAATGGCCTAATGGATCTTTGAAACAACTGACAGATTAGTTTTATTGGAAACTATAAAGATTCTCCCCAAAGGGTTCCCAAAACCTATTCTCAAAGCACACTTTTGCCCTTAGTTCAACAAAGCCCAACAGAGGTCAATGACTATTATAATTTTGAAAATATTCAGAAATAAAAAAATAATTTTAAGTTAACACCCTACCAGGAAGCCTGCGGTTCATTTTAACAGCTGTCTCTCCTGTACTTCGCCAAAGTCCATTCTCTCAGATGTGAAGGTTTAAGGAGCACCTACTATGCAAAATCTCTCTCTAGATAAAAACTGTTCTGGTTGTAGCCGGGTCACAGCAAATTCACAAGCCAGTTAAAAATATGGGTCTTAACCTTCTCATCTTTCCATGGAAGGAAGAAATACACATATACTAAAAACTTACAGAAGCAGAGGAAAATCGTTTCAATACACATTGCATAGACGCTGAAGAACCCATGTGCAATTAGGTAAGATCCCAAAATGACTGTCTGTAAACAAGCAAAGAAAAGAATGAAGATGTTATTAATTTGCCCATAAGAACAATAAGGCAACTTTAAATGAATGTCATGATGAGAAAGCTCTGAAGTACTCAATGCTGGAAAGATTTCAATACAGAGACCAAAACAGAAGTCAGTGATAAGCTTTTTAAGTATGTTGTACCTGGCTTTAAAATATACTACTAAACTACCCAATATATTTTTTTTTGCTTTACTATTATCCCCAATATCTACCCCAAACATCCCAGATTTAGGATCCTGTACACTGAGGCAGTAAAGCATAGGAGTTGAGAGCATAAGCTGCCTAGATTTGACTTACAGCTCAGGCACTCCCTCAACAAGTTATTTAGCCTCTCTGTACCTCCTATATAAATTGTGGGTGAGGGAGAGGACAACTGCATAAGAATAGTATTTATAGCATATGGATTGAGTGAGTTAATATATTGCAACAGACACCACAGCGTTCCACCCAGATCTTCTCCAGCTGCCACATCATCGCCTAGTTGTTGGAAAAGTAGTCTACTAATGACTCAGCTGCTCCCTCCTCATAGGGAGCTGCCTCACTCAAGGTTACACCCACCCCCATCTGGGAGAACCCCTGGCCAACAGCTGCCTGGTGCAGCATGCAAAGGCCTCATCTCTTTGTCAAAACTTCCAGTAATTATGCCTGAGGCTTCAGCTATAACTGCACAGTTGGGCAGTGTTTTCCTCTCCTCCCCACGTCTTCCCTCCTCACTTCCTTACAGATGAATGTCAGCAGAAGATGTCCAAATAAACCCACATGTAATCCTCTATTAGATTGTTTCCAAAGAAGCCAAGTTATAAAGCACAGTGAGGCTTGGCCTAAAGTGAGACCCATAATGTTAGCTCTCACTATTTTATTCCTTTTTGTTTTTCCCTTTTGTTATCCCTGGTAAGCCAGAGTCAATATTACCCGGTAGCTGTGGAATGAATTGTGTTCCCTTCAAAGTCCATAGGCTGAAATACTAAACCTCAATCTGATGGTATTTGGAAGTGGACGTTTGGAAGGTAATTAAATGATGAGTGAAGGCCTCTCATCATCTAAAGGGATTAAGGGGAGACAGGAGAGATGATGTGATGATAAAGCAAAAATCTATTTTGCAACAACAGGAAGAGAGCCCTCACTAGGAACTGAATTTGTGGGCACCTTGATGTTGTACTCAGCTTTCAGAATTGTGTGGAACAATATCCTGCTGTTTGAACTACCCGATCTGTGGTTGGTTGGTTGGCTTTTTATAGCAGCCCAAACTAAGACACCAGCTCTTACCAGCAAAGGTACCCAGTAGTAATTTAAAGTTGTTGGTCCTTCTACAATCATAGGGATTCTTTGTGTGAAGAGGAGGAAGGCCAGGGTACCTACATTGACAAGGCAGAAGATGAATATTATGTATTTCAAAGGCATATAGCTTTCTCAAGTAAGGAAGTTTTTCTAAGAAGTTCTTAAACTTTTTCTTATGTGCACCATTAGTACTTACCTATACACCCAGCAACTAGAATTTTTCCCAGGAGAAGTACAAAGTCTGTAAGCTTATCTACAACTGCAACTCTGAGAAGCAGAAAAAAGAAAGTATAACTTTGTGTTTAAATTACATTTGTAACTTGAAATTTATGACAGCATATCATTTTGATAGGTCCTTGCTGGAATTTTATTTGGTAATTGTTAAACAAAAGAAATTAAGGCAGGATCTAGTGATAAAATTCTGACTTATTTTAAATGAAGCCAACAGAAGATGGCATTGTAGGACTGTTGAGTGTTACTGATAATGTCAGCTTCTTTCTATAATTTGAGGCCTAATTGACACCCTTAATTCTGAGGATGCTGCGTTTCTTTTCTAATTTTGTTCACTCAGGCACTGCCAATTTGGGAAAGGGGGATTGGCAAGAGGCATGAACATAATGTTCATATGGGCAATTTCTTGAGTAGAGGGGACATCAAAAATGAAAAACAATAATGTGAGTGGGCATGAAGACACAGATGGATAATAGAAATAATTCTAGAATAATGGTATAAGAGAGAAGATTCAAGTCTATCAAAATGAAAGATAATATTCATGTCTAACAAGAACATCAATGTTTTAAATAATAACATATGACATGATGCTCAAGCTTCACCAAGTTAGTTATTGTAATGTTTGACATAATTACTTACTTTAAAATATTTCTCATCAGCAGATTGAAAGCATCTCTTGCTGAAAAGCAGAAGTTTTTGCCATATATTGCAATCTGAGGAAGACAGTAGTATCTGAATAAGTAATACATCCTAATAAGACTAATAGACAATCCATAGAATAATTCTGATTCTTCTTTCCAAAATCTGGGTTTGTGGGGACCCTTTGTGTCTTTAATTCTGTTGCATAAACTCTCAGTGTTGTTGACAGTAAGGTATGTTTCAGATGCTATGTGCCCATAAATGCCAAGGGGATGAGATAACATTGAAGAGGATCTTTTTCTCACATGTCAGGATGTGATTTCTGTGTTTGAAACTATATTGGCTAGAATTTGTTGAGTGGGTTAAATGCTATACTGTTCACATTAAAGATTACCCTCAGGAAACCCAATGCCTTTCAATACACTTCATTTATTGATTTAGAAGTTCAAGATAACATTATCACTGGAGGTACATTAATGACTGTTTGGATCACTCCGGTTGATCTTGTGTTATCATGATAATAAAAATCATAAAGCTGTAGTTGCTATATTTTAGAATTATAGTTTTGATATCCTACTTTTAAAAAAACTTTAGAAATTTACATTGTCATAGGAAATAAGAACAAGTCCAGGTAGGCATTGCCAATGCCCACACATTTTGAAGTTTAAAAAAGGAACAGACTCTTCCTCAAAAATATATGTCTCATATCTAGAAAATATTTTCTTCTCAAAGTGAGACACAGACTAAGAAAAATTTTTGCTCACTAAATTGTGTCAAAGACACACAAAGTCATTCTTAATCTAACACATTTTTAAATTTCTAGGGCAAATAATATTTTCCTCTCCAAAAAAGATACTGAAGGTAGCCCTCACATATGCTTGGATTTACAGATCCTCATTTCAACAGTGTCATATTCAACTGCATGATGTAGAAGTACTCTTGAAATGGAAGTGTAGACATGGGAGTTGTGTTTGCAAAGAACTTTAGTACATAAAAAATAATATACTTACCATAACATAGGCATTTCTGTTCAAAAACTTCACCGCTTTGTCAAAGCACCAGAAACAGCAAACCAAGCAGCACTGTAGGAATCTAGCAAAGTTGTTTTGGGCACCTATGAGACGATAATTGAATCTCTTAATGATTTGCAACTGAACACTATTAATCAAAACCCTTCTAGTGGACTTTAAAATTTTTAATTGTAGCTATATATATTTAATATCTATATACATTTACCATTTTAATTATTTTACATACAATTCAGTAACATTAAGTACATTCACAGAGTTGTACACTCATCTTCCATTTCCAGATGCTTCTTCATCTCAAGCAACAACTCTATACCCATTAAAACAAACTCCTCATTCTCCCCTTTTTCTAACCTCTTGCAATCCACATTGTATTTTCTGTCTGTATGACTGTGCCTCTACTAGGTAATTTCATAGAAGTGTAATCATACAGTATCTGTCTTCCTGTGTCTTCATTATTTACTTAGCATAAAGTTTCCAAGATTCATTTCATTCCTGAGAGCTGAATAACATTCCTGTGTGTGTGTGTGTCACATTTTGTTTATTCTTTTATCTGTTAATGGAAATTAGAATTGTATCTACCTTTTGGTTATTGTGAATTTGGCTATGATCCCAGTTTTGAGTAGATATCTAGAAGTAGAATTTCTGAATCACAGCTCAATTTTTTCTTGTTGAGGAACTGTCATACTGTTTCCCATTATGCCATTTTACTTTCCCACGAGCAATGCACAAGGATTCCTATTCACCCTTACCTTATGAACACTTGCTATTTGCCATTTTTTAAAGATGTTACTTCAAATGTGGGCAAAGTATTACCCCATTATGATTTTGATTTGTATTTCTCTAAGGATAATATTTAGCATTTTTTCATGTGTTTATTCACCATTTGTATATATTCCTGAAAGCAATGCATACATAAACCCTTTGTGGGAGGGACCAAAACGGTTGACATAGGAAGTTCCTGAATCTTCCACCTCCCACAGACGTGTGAAATATATAACATGGAGCAATTTCTACTGAGAGAGCTACAGGAGGTAGCGGAGTGACCCCTACACATCTGGCAACCTACTTTGAAGCAGCAAGAAATTCGGAGACACATTTGCATAAATCCCTTTTTTGACAATGAACCATATAATTCAGACAAAACTTCCAACAACCTTCAGCTTCTATCTTAAGGAATGAATGGATTGGACATTATAAAGTTTCCAACTTTTTTTTTTTTAAATGTGTGTGTGTGTGTTTTTTAAAAAGATTTCTTTATTTATACATACAGAACTAGGGTATAGGCCAGAGATGCAGGGGTGGTGAAAGGATTCACCAGAGAGAGAGTGGGGAGCAGAACAGGCAGATAGATGAAGTACACTGCTGAGGGGAGCAGCAGAGCAGGTCAGGTGAGTTCTGCCATACCTTGTGGATCACCTCTAGGGCAGGGATGGAATTCATGCTGAAGTGGCTTTAGCTTCTTAGTGCTGTGCTTTAACGCACTTCAACACCAAGAAGGGCCCTAAGTTTACAACTTTTTAGGCTCCCACCTAGGGGATGGAGCTCTATGTACCCATCTCTGAAAGCTACAAGTCTCAAAGGACTACAGAATACAAAACTAAAAACAAACAAACAAACAAACAAAAAACCAGCAACAAAAAAACACACACCCAGTTCTAAACAGGCACACAGGCTAATCTCTATGCAATTGCCCCAGAGCATAGCACAGAGGGAACTAGAGTAAATGCCTGTCACCCAGTCTTCGCCCAGGAGGGGGCTGACTGAACTCTACAACCTGCTCCCTGAGGCTCTTCTAATATGCATGACTACAGAGACTAGCTGTGATTTTTCCACTGAGCCCAAGAAGGCTAATGGATACTTCTGCTGTCGTCTCCCTCTAGCTCACTCCAATTATAAAATTAGGTCAATAATGTATCTCTGGAGAGGGCTTGTGCACATACCTGTGCTCAAGGTTCACAGCTACTATGCAAGGGGTGGTCCCTACTTTGTATATATTATGTGTGACGGGGGTTTAATACCCAAATTATCCAAAGTACTCATAAAATTCAATAAAAAAATAAACAAGCCAATTACAAAATGCACAGAGGATCTGCAGAGACGCTTTGTAAAAGAAGGTACACAAATGGCCAGTAGGCCATTTGAAAAGAGGTTTATCGATGCTTCTGAAGGAAATATAAATCAAAACGATAAGCTACAAACTTGCACTGTGACATGGATATTATCTAAAAAGATAAGAAACTAACATGGATGCACTTGCAAGGTGAAATATGCCAGATGGAGAACATATATTTTAAGTCTGACCTGTCCTGAGTTCTAGATTTGGAATGGCTTGACATCTCCACCATGCTGTTCAAAATTAACATGTCAAAAACACAATTCCTATTTGAAATTTTCTCATCCTGGTTTCTTAGTAAAAACATCTTAGTAAAGACATCAGATCACACTATTTCTCTCTCTTTTTTTTTCACCATATTCCTCCCTCCCATTTGTCACCACTGTCCCCATTATAGCTAACCCCTCAGCAAGTTCTGTTTTTTCCCTTCCAAATATGTCCAATGCAATCACTTATATGCTAATTACTTAGTGCAAATTGCAGTCAAATTGTATCCTCCAATTCCCTGCACCAATACAGTCTCTTCATAAAAGTCAAGAAGCCTAAGAAAAGAGGAATTCTGGAATCTTACCTTTAATACGTCTATCTATATATTCTATGACACATTTAAAGAGTTGGACTAGTGCAAGAATTAAAGCTCCAAATGCTAAGGATCCTGTGTGATATCTGGGCAAAAATAAAATGAGGATAAAAGTTAAAATATTTTATATTAACTGAAAAGTTGTTAAGCAATTTTTGCAAGTAAAAGATCTGCCCAAGGATTGATTGGAAAGAGCTTCTTAGACTCTATTACTCAGATTGATAAAATTCTCCATAGAGGATTTTAAAATGTATATGTCTTTCATCCTTCATTTATAGAAATGATATCAGTAGTCTGTCATCAAAAAATAGCATGTTTGAATGTAGCAATGGAGATACAGAGACAAGTTAATTTTTGATCTTTAATTTTCACACTTTTTTCCCCTCTCCAGTAACTTAAGGCTTTTTACGAGGATATTGACCTGGTAGAGATTGTGAAATTGTGGCTATAAACCAGACAAAGCCAATGACATCCAAGAATTTTTTTTTTTTTCAAAAATTTTGAATAAAACTTTGTCCTTATTTGTACCTTGCCAGTTGAATTATAAGCACTAGATTAAATTACAGACACACTAAATATAACAAGATACATAGTTCAATGTGTATGTTTCTTACCGAATGGCTCTTCCAAAGGAAGTAAAAAGTGGAAATGATGGGAGGTCGTCAGGTTTTTTCATGGTCCAGTAATAAGTAGCAAAGGCACCAGCAAGGGCGCACTGACCCAATGCAATGACAAAGTTTATAAGCCAGAGAAAGATAAATAGATTGAATATCTGGAATGTAGTGATATATTGATGGTACAGGGTCGATCCACCATAGAAAGCAAAGTTACACTGAGCCCCAGGGCAAACTTTGGGAATATCGGTTCTATTAAAAACCTGCACTCAGGGAAAAAAAAAAAATAACATAGGTAATATAACATTAAATTCTATTCCAAGACAATAACTTCTCTATTTTCTTATCTTGTCTAATCCCCCAGTTGCATGTCCTGCTTTATTTCCCTGTTCTCTTCTACTATTTTTCCTATTTCCATCACCTCATTTTATCAATTTGTATAATGAACTCTGAAAAACATCTCATTTTCCATCATAAATTCTTCACTCTACATTTACTATAATTTCACATTTATTAATGCTGTTTCTGACCATGTCTACTTCTTAGGTATAGGATGGGATAAATGCCTTCACAAAATAATAGTAATTTCTCTTTATTCTGCCCACCTCTGTGCTTTTCTGCTAACACCTGACCTACCTCCCTTTCTGTTTCTGCCCCCACTAATGCACACAGTCTCTAATTTAGGATGATTCCTACATTGCTAGATAAAATGTAATAGAGTTTCTGTTGAAGTAAATAAGTGAGTGATATTTTTCTACTTACCTCTGGGTCACAGGTATTATTTTCATATTTACATTTTCCTTCTGCAGCTATGACTTTATATACAGGTTCCCCTGATGTAGCCAAGTAACTGAATTATTCTATTAAGGGTAAATCATTTGCTGGTAGATTGAAAGTAAATGGACAATAAAATAATGAAAAAAAATATGTCAAAAGCTCCTTGAGGGATTAATTTTTAAAAAACTCCTAACTTAATCATTCCTTCATTATTTAGACCAAAAGTAATTTCAACAGGTGTCAGTAGCACTTAGTGGCCCTTTAAAAACAGTAACATATATTAACACTTCCTTAGGTTATTGCTAAGAAGAAAGTGAAATAAAACAAAATCCATCATATTTCCTACTTGAAGGGAAATTCAATAATTGTATTGAAACTCTTAGAACTTGGCCAAAAAAGGAAAAAGTTATTTCTCTATGATGTTTCTAATGTGGATCTAGGTTTTCAAGAGTTCAACTAGTAAAGGATACATTGCTATCACAGCCCAGTAGGAAATGCAGATTGAGAGGAAAATGAAAGTAAAAAATGGATAAAATAATGTAGTAGGGATGTATCCAATGGCTCTGAAATAAAACAAATAGTTGAAAATCAAAATGACCCAGAACTGTAATTTCTCACTTAATACTTTATATTAGAACTATAAATAAATATTAACTGAATTAGTTCTAAAAACAGTGGTAATAACTGACAATTTTTTTTTTTTACCGGTCATACTGGCATAGTCTTAGTTGGTTTCAAACTTTTTAATTAATTTATTTTTTGTGAATTAGAGACCTTTTAGTGTGCATGCCTGATGCATGTCAAAGTTCCCTAAATCATTTTAGTTCATATAGCTTATGATAGAGTATCATCATGACATGTTTTCCTTTCCTTCTGTCTTTTAAAATTGGAGGGGACCTTGAAGATCATCTAGTCAAATCTGAGAATATCTCCCTAATTCAGTGATCCCTTCTGTGCTATCTTCAAAATCTGTTCATTAGTTTTTGTAACCATATTGAGAGATAAGGAACTTGGTGTGTGTGTGTGTATATATATATATATAGAATAAATAAAATATTTATTATAATAAATATTTAAATAAATAAAATATATTAAATAATAAAATAGAATAGCTTAAGTTGTGTGTGTATATATATATATACACACACAACTTAAGCTATTCTATTTTCCTAACAACCAAGCTATTAGAAAGTTCTGCCTTTTAACTTACATCTACACCTACCAGAAAGATAATCACTGCCTTTCCACACATCAACACTTCAAGTAACTTTTTATTCATTTTTCCCCTCCTAGGATATACATTCCCTAATATTTCCTCACAAGACAGGATTTCTGACATGTTCATCATCCTAGTTACCTTGTTCCAAAATACTTCCAAGTAATCTTTTTAGTATGACACTGGGTTAAAACCAGTACTGTTTGACACTACCTGTGAGAACTGGTGACACTATGTTCATCTCTAATGCCTTGACACCTCTTAGATTACTTTTGCAATTCCTTTCTTCACTTCATTATTTTAAGTTCTTCTCTCCTTTCTCCAAATACTGGTGTTTACTGAATAAATGAAGACCCTTATGTTAATCTAGTATCCTCATACCCACTTGTTCTAAATCTCAATTTTCCCTTGAGCAAACCATCAGCTAGTCACAGTTGGATCAGCCTTTTAGCCTTTTAACACACACATTTATAGGTAATAGTAGGACAATAATGAATTGTATACATCATGTTATTTCAGAATATATACAGTAAATCAAAGAGTATTAGTGGTGAGTGACAGGAGCTTCAGTTTTTGTTTGAAGGAGAAAGTTTAATTTAATAAACAACTGTTTAAATCCCTGGCTTCAGGTGGCACTATTTGTATTATAGATGACAATTCTGTTAAATAATTCTTAAACTCTACTTAAAATAATTTGGTTCTTGTCATTAACAGCTTTGTTTTTATTATTTGAAATAGAAAACATGGCTTATGGCTTAGCACAATGCTATCCTTGTTTATTCCATGTGGTATTAAAAAATTTAAAGTGTTATCTTCAAGGGACTTTTGTAGTAGTCTTTGAACTATAGGCTACTACCATCCAGCATGAATTTTACAAAAAATATAGTATTTATTTGCTAGTATTTTCAAATATTCTTGAATTAAGAGTAATAGATACATAAATGTATAGTCTAGTAATATTAGGATCAATTATTTTGTCTATAGCAAATTTTGTCACTTACACAGAAATGGTAATAGCATATAATTGACTTTGTAGGATTATGGTGATTTAAAGTTCTATAAATGATTTCAAGCATTAATGTTAAAACATGACTCAGTATGGGAATAATACAATATGTAATATAGCTGACTTTTATGTAGCACTTGATCACATACTTTCACACACGTAATTCTAACATAAATTTGGTGCTTAAAAAGGGCTAATGCATAGACTAGCCAGGTTTTTTTGTTTGTTTGTTTGTTTTAAAGATTTATTTATTTATTCATACAGAACAGGCCAGAGGCTCAGGGGCGGCGAGAGGCTTCATCATAGACAGAGTGGGGAACAGAACAGACAGATCGATGAAGTACACTGCTGAGGGGAGCAGCGGGCGGGTCAGGAGAGGTCTGCCATGCCATGTGGTCACCTCCTGGGCAGGCGGGGATCGAACTCATGCGGAAGTGGCTTAAGCATCTTAGTGCTGTGCTTTAACACACTGCGCCACCAGAGAGGGCCAGACTAGCCAGGTTTTTAACCTTATTTTAACCTCTAATAATTGAAGGTTGATAATATTGAAAAACTGACTTGTTAGCATGACTTTCTAAGTGGTATTAGAACTTAAATCTTCAATGGAAAGCAGATTCCCTTAACAAGTCTTCTTAAAGGGAAAATTGTCTGGGGCAGCAACGCAATGGGCAGTGACTGATTGGAATGACTGGTACACATGTACAAGTCTCTCCATCAGGCTCTTACTTGCTCCCTTCCTTCAGCAGGGCTATGGAGATGCGAATTCGGTGCCTGAGGAAAATCAGCATGATGATGACAAGCACTTCAAGGATGCAGAGTATTATCACTTTAAAGAGAAAAAAAAATCATATGTGATTCAAAACCATCCAAAAAACAAACTTTTTGTGAAAAAGTTATAACAGAGCATCATGATCAATTCTGACATGTCATAATTTTAGCAAAAATACCAATATTAGAAATTCACTTTCACAACCTCCAAGAAATGGTAGAAATCTAGACTGGAATGTTCAGCTAGAGTTTATACAATTCAATTGGACAGTCTTCTTTTTATTTATGGAAACATTTCACACCATTTACAGAAATGATAGAATAGGCATGGGGAGAAGGAAGGGCTGTTTTAAGTAACTCTATCTTAGATGTTTCATGTTTACTTCATCAAGCAAGTGAATTGTAACAGAAGAAACATTTTGAGCTGTCCACTCTGCATCTCTCAATTAATTGATCTTGTTGACTGAACAGGCAGCTTCTTAGCTGCCCCCACTTTTACTTGCAACTTCACCCTTCATGACCATTGTAGAGTTGGTGTAAACCCAACATGAGTCATCCAGTAAAAGCCTCAGAATTAGAACTAAGGTAATCTTGTTCAGTTCCAAACAAGTTTATATATCTCATAAACTAAAAGTTATACAAACATTATAGGCTGCATCAAAATAATCTTTATGTTAAGTAAATGAATCCACAAAGATAGAATAAAGTGGGTTGTACGGGTATAAGAAAAGAAGAAAAAGAAGAAATCTTGACTTATTTTTGCTTATTTGTGTCCTGGATACAGGCACAACTGAAAAACCATTTAGCTGTATGTTTACCATTTAGCTGCCTGATAAACCATTTAGCTGTCAATTTTTTTTTT